TTACAGCTCCCTGTCTTTTCTGCCTCCAGTTTCTACATGCACCAAGAAATGCTGACCATTCCCCAGCATAGACTCAGCACAAAAATGTGAGAACCCAGGAGGCAAATTTTCCAGTGTATTCACATCATGAATTATGTTCAAAGTGCTGCAGTTACTCCACAAATAAATAAAATGACCTTATTCAGTTTTGCTGAGGGAATGAGGAAGCGTTCCATGGCAGTGATATAAACACTGAAGCTGTGAGTAGCCTCGATTTCAAAGGGCACTGATATACAAATAAGGTCTGAGCTGAAGTCTGCCTGAAACCAGGGCGGTGCACTCCTAATGGCTGCTTTTGCTACTTTCAGCCAGTCTCCAGGGAAAGACAAGATTTTCACCCTGGACAATGTTTTCACATAAGCCAGATGAGGTTGTGAAAGTGGGTGTCATGCAGATAATTAGAACTATCCAAATAAAGAGTAATGCACAGTGTAAGTCAATTTGGGGGTTTTATTTTTCTCTTTCAAGTGGTATGGGCAAATGTGTTCTCTTTTATTTTTCTGTGTGGTACGGGCAGATTTTTTTTTTCCATTGTTTGAGGTATCACATACCTTTTTGAGACTGTTAAAAAAAAAAAAAAGATATTGCCCTCCAGAGTTTAAAACAAGTAATGTTCTCAGTAGATTAAAGACAGGGATAGAAATAATGCCTAGCTATAGAGCCAACCCATGTACTTGGCAAGCATAGAAAAAGCCACATTAATTCTCTACCAGAGATAACACAACATCCCTGAATAAATACAAATTAAGAGACAGCCACTTGGTGGACTTTAAAACAGTGCAAGAAATGGCTTTCAAATCTGAGTAGAATCTTAAAGAACATGATACATTAAGTGGAAAAACAGACACAAAATTTTAGTATGTATATCACAACTAAAATAAAATATAAAATGTAAAAACCATAAGATAAAAAATAAACACATGGAGAAGATAGCAACGGTTACACTATGTTGGGGGAGCCGTTTTCAGCAGGGGAGAGTTTTCCCAGTTTTTATAATATGGTTGCTCTTCTTTTCATATTCGATTGGAAAAATGGAAAAAAAAAATAAAAGAAATTGTCTTCAACCAAGAAAATTTTGCTAAATGTATGATTTCAAGGAGGCAGGGGTGGAAAGGAATCTGGGGTGGCACCTTCAGAGGTGCCAGGACCCTGTGAGGTGTGTGATGGGGCAGAGAAGGGAAGGCAGGATTGAGGCCAGAGAGCCTAGGGTGGTCAGCACTTGGCTATAAGGTCTGAACGCGGATAAAGGGAAGGCACTGTGGCTGAGAGGAGGAATAGCTGGGCCCAGGTTAAGGCTTTCAAGAGCTGGCTCTGGAGCCATAACAAAACCTTAGAGCCTGGTGTGGAAGCCACGCTCGCATACGGACAAGAGATGAAAGCAGGAACCAGGGTCTAGAAAGAGGAACAACAGGATGTACCAGCTCCTAGAAAAGGAGCACTAGTCAAAAGGCCTCAGTGTTGCCAGACCACCAGGTTTCTCTAGAAGCTGCTCAGGAAGGGATCAGGCCTAGTCAGCTAACACATCCTAAAATGTCCAACTGTGAGCAGAATACACAGGGAGGGTCATTCCAGAGACCTTCTGAGATGTTGGTAAAACAATACAGAAAAACAAGGCTTTTTTGACAACAGAAACCCATCGGCTTAGCGAGAAATTACAGGAGAAACAGAAGAGTCCAAGTAAGAAACACAGCAACAATATTTTTTAAGAGGCAACGGCATTTCAGTCTAGCGTGTTTCACTTCACTGCTTCTAAAGATGCAGCACGAAGGTGTGTTTTTCTCTTTTTCTTGTGCTGGGCTCCCTGCACTGCACACCTGCCAGAATACAGCTAAACTCCTAAGACAAATGAACTTGAAGACATGATTCTCCAAGTATAACACTCTTTCTGCAGTCTCTAATTTTTTTCATCATGCATCCCAACAGTAGAAAAAAATAAACATACAAGAGTCTCAATACACTGCAATATATGTGCATATTTATACATCAATTATATGAGTACTATCAGCCATACATAGAAGCCATGGCAAATGCTTTAAAAAACTAACAAGGCATGAATACTAACTTCTGACGTCTTTTTCTTATATTTAGATGAACAGTCTTTCCTTTCAAACCACTAGAATAGCCACTAGTTTACCCAGCCAGTTGGACTGGACCCAACTCCTTTGTCATACGGGAAGCAAGGAATCTCTGGCAAGGCTGCATCCAAGTTCACTGTGGGGAGGTCCTGGATTGTGGGGTGCAGGAGATACTGTTTTCTACTGCAAATTCTCTAGCCCAGGCACAGCTCGACATGATGAATATCTGGAACTGCTTCATTTCCCTACTCATTTGCATACTTCCTCTATTCAAGGCAGCCTCGTCCTCGAGAAAGTTTTCCATCAACCTGTTACCTGATGGATTTAGCAGCCACTGATGATGACTCGCTGCACCGTCTCATTAAGGGTTTCAAAACGCTGATTTTCTAATTCTCTATTTCTTTTACATTTATTAGCTCTGATTTTCCCATGATTAACAACTTTTTCTCATCAACCATTTGATTACCTTCAAATATAATTTGTGCTAGAAAGGCGGGAGGATCAAAGCTGGGTTCCCCACCCTCTCTTTCAGAGTAATGAGTTGGTATCCTAGCAACTTGCATAGGTGACCAGCTACATTTTGTGGGATTTTCTTCCTCGGCACATCATTCTGGACTTGATTATTTTTTAAGTGTTTGATTTCAATCCAGTGCAGTCAGTTTTCTTTTGATGCTCAGACTACCCCATCTGGGGATCCTGTGTCCTCCTAACCCCACCCCAGTGGTCCTTCTTCGCTTCCTTCCCTTTTGGCATAAGACATCCCATCTCAAATATCTCTGGCCTCAGACCTAAAACCAACTATTTATCCTTGGAAGCAGCAAAAGGTATTTAGGAAATCCCAATCAGAGCACTCAAATATTCACTGCCACTCACTCAGCTACCTTTCCTCCTAGTTCTTTCCAAAGTATATAATTAAAAAACATTTTCTTTTTAAAGCAAAAAAAAAAAAAGATATTCATATTGATATTTCTTATTCAAACTAACGAGTGTTTTTTACTTCAATTCTTTAAGTACTCCCCTTTCTTATATACTGAAAATCTTGTTCTCTATACTATAACAGTTTCAAATAGTAGTACAAATATTTCTTACTATGAATGCATGATCAAAACACTGCTTTTGGTGTTATGAGTGATTGCTGATGTTTGGGCATGCAGGTTTTTTTCTTTTTTTAAAGGCAATGAAATGTGTCAAGCTTCTTCCTCGTTTCTGAATTCTGAGTCAGAGTTAGGAAATTAATACCTCTCCCAGGCTGATAGAATTTACTCCATGTTTCTGACCATAGTTACATTTTAAACAGTGAACTTCTTTCAACTCAATCAACTAATAATTTTAAACCCTCCATCCATGAAAACAAAAATAGGTTTGCCAGACTCTGTATTCCACCATTCTACCCTTTCCTTCTACACCTCTCCTTCTACAGCTTAGAGACAGGGAAACGCCATCTGTTGGAGGGCATGTGCCTACTACATCATTCAGGCAGTTTGGGCCATTTTGGACACAGAAAACACCTTATGTCACTTACACTCAGTTCACTTTTTAGGTTCCTGTGTGACTTGCCCTAATCTCTAAAAATTTCATGCAAAGTCAAACTGTAGGCTAACTCTAATGCCTCACCAGGCTGACAGTCATCTGTCACCTAATGTGCCCTGAACTGGCCCAAGGGCAGGTTCCGAACAGGACAATATAGCTCCAGGAAAAATAATAATGCTGTCACACATACAACATGTTCTCGTCAATTTCTCTGAGCTAAAAAAGAACATTTAAACACAAACCGATTATTAGCTGTTTCCTTTCTTAATTCTCCCTCCTCGGGCCCAACACCTAAGGGTTAGTCCAAGGTGTTCACGGTTACATTCAGTGAGCCTAAGGAAAGCGCCTTCTTTGGGTGGTTACCTACAAAGAGAAGTTCGGGCAGCCACGTGGGGAAAAGGCTGGCCACGGGTTTCCTAGTTCTTGACTTGACAAACCAAACAGATTGACAGATCAGAAACAGGAATCTCTGGATTAAAATTATACTGACATTTTTGGGAAATGGGCATTCTTTATTCTGTGCATCCAAATTAACTGCTTAACTCATGTGGCCTTCCATTTCTAGAAGAGAGCTTCACCTTGTCACTATGGTGTGCTGACTTAAATAAGAAATTTATTTTGGGCACAAATGCTATTAGACTTGATTCTTGGCTTTACAGTCCTCAGCTAACGAAGACCTGAGGCTAGAGGCAGGTAAGAAATGGAGACTATGGGGAAAGTAGACCAGAGAAACAGAAAACTCCCAAGAGTCTTGCAGTGGGGCCAGTTTCTCCTGCACTCTGCTCTCACTGCATCACTACACAAAATATTCACTGTTGTTGACAATGACAACACCAAGTCACCAAGAGAAGTCATTTCATTCTGTGTTGGCAATTTAAAAAGGCAATAAAGCAGGAAACAGTTTAAAATAGTTCCAATTAGAAAAGGCTAGATTATTTCCTCTTTAATAAGTTTGATGCTTAAATAGCTAAGATGGAATTACCTGTAAAATGGATTGACCTCATTTCTCATGAATGATGAAACAGACCCTCACCAGCAACGGCATGGCACCAGGCATGCTTAATGCCTGCCAAGCTGGAGGCCACCAAAGTCCTTCCCCACATGGTTTCTCAAGATCATTTGTATTGAACATTTCCCCCCACCCCGGAACATTTTTGAGGCTTTTCACAAAATTCTCACATAGGTTTTCAATTATAATTATAGAAAAAAAAAATCAATGATTCCCAATGCAAAAGCCTCACATTTCCACAGCAAAGGGTCCAGCGTAAAAATTAGCAAATAGATGCTTATTTACTTAATTTTCCCCTCTACCTTTGGTGGCATTCTGGAAAGCAGAGGAAAAACACAGATACTCACGGAACATGGTATAAAACTGTTGAGGGTTCAGATTCCATTTTCCCCAGGGAGTCTTATGGCCTTTAGACTGGGCATAATTCGCATGATTAAACTCTGGTTCAGTTCCAAAGGAATCAAGGACTCGGAGCATACACCTGAAAGAAAAAGAGGTATCTTTAAGCCAACCACCTTGACCCCAAACTATAAGCCTTTCACCTTGAACTCAAACTTCAAAAGGGAAAAGCTCTAATCCTTTCTTCAAAGACCACCCAAAATGGACAAATACTGTATATTAAAAATGCTATTATACAAGAATTGAGAGGCTATTTTTTTTTGGGGGGGAGGGGGTCCTGAGAATCAAACCCAGGGTCTTGTGTAGTCTAGGCAAATATTCTACCTAGAGCTCTATTTCCAGCCTGAGAAGTTTTAAAACAGCTAGCATATAAACATCTCCATGCAGGACTTGAGAGCCTAAGTCATCACACAGCAGATAGCATTTGCTGCAGACTGGATGACTAATCACAGAGGTGGCTCCAATAGCAGTTAAATGAAAAGTTCCATGAAAGCTGGATCCGGGGACCACGATATTCTCTGCTGGGTGCACCCAGCCAGAGTTAAGGATATAGTAGGTGCCTAATCAGCAGATATTGAAGAAACAAAGAACTACCATCTCTGCAGGTCTTATTCAGCTTAAAGCACAGGGTATGCATCACCTCTTTCAGCCCTTGTTCAACACTTACGTTACCTAGGCTATTTGATTTTGGGTAAAGCTTATGTTGTAGTTTGAGGTATTCCCTGAAAGTTCCTGTTTCAGAAACTTAATTTTCAAATTCACATGCTTATGGTATTTAGAGGTAGAGCCTTTGGAGGCAGTTAGGGTAGAGGGGATCATGGAGGAAGACATGCTGGCATTAGTGACTTTATGAGAAAAGCAAGAGAGACCAGAGCTTGCAGGCTCCTTCTCCTATCACATGGTGCCCTCCACATGGGACACAGCGAGATGTGACCTATCCATCTTGGAGCTTCCAGCCTCCAGAATGGTGACGAACAAACTTCTTTTCATTATACATTACTCACACTTAACACAAAACAGACTGGTTAGTTGACGTAAATGTTGAACAACCGCTGAAAGAGATAAAGAGACCAGATGTCTCCTGGACACTTAAAAAATGGACTATGCTTAGAATCTCATTTCATAGGGAGTGCTGGGTTTTATGTATTTATTAACAATAGAACTTTACTGCTTTCTCCTGCAGCCTGAAGAAATACAACTGAAGGTGTTTCATTTGGCTATATTTCCAAGGCCTAAAACAGGGCCAAATCTAGCCTACCACTATTTGGGGGGCCAGGAACTAGGAATGGCCTTTACATTCTTATATGATTTTTTTTAAAAAAAGAGAATAACTTTGTGACACATGAAAATCATACTTCCATATTACAAAAATAAAGTTTTATCTGAACACAGTCACATCCCATGGTTCCTGTGTTATGTGTGACGGTCTTCACTCTGTATAACAGCGGAGCTGAGAAGGTGAAACAGAGAATATACACATGGGTCACAAAACCCATTGCATTTATTGGCTGGCCCTTTACAGAAGTTTTCTGACCACAGCATTGAAGGGCACAAAGAATGACCAATTGAAGAAGGCAATTAAGGAATCGATACTGAAAAAAATTGACTGATTTTGGTTACACTGATGTTATCACTGATTCTCAAAACATTCCTGTAAACTAAGCTCAGGAATGGCCGATAAAAACTGTTTGTTATTACATAGCAACACCACCTCTGAATGGACCAATGAGCATAAAAGTAAACAAAGATTAAAGCCCACATTTTTAAAAAATGTTTTTTAGTTGTAGATGGACACAATATCTTTATTTATTTATTTTTATATGGTGCTAAGGTTCAAACCCAGTGCCTCACACATGCGAAGCAAGTGCTCTACCACTGAGCTACAGCCCTAGCCCTAAAGCCCACATTTTGAAATGAGATGACAGCAATGACTTTTAAGAATTGCATTTAGTTTCTTTCTTCTGTTTCCTCTATTAGGAAGCCATTATTTCAAGTTTTAATTTTTACTTCAATATAAAATTCTGAAAAAAAATCAACCCAAACACCAGATTGAATTTTCCAGAAAACATGTTCATAAATTGCAATTTTTATGTGATTTCCTTCGATTATTTGCCTAGACAAGGAAAATAAGAAGAGAAAAGCTGTAACCACACAGTCAAATACAAGTGGACCACAGAAAAAAATTTCCTTTTTAAATGTTTTGTGTGTGTGTGTGTGTGTGTGTGTGTGTGTGCGCGCGCGCGCGCGACACTATAGGGATTTAGGGATTAAACCCATGGGTATTTTACTACCGAACATTCCTAGTCCTTCTAAAAGAAATTTTTTTTTTTTTTTTTTGGACAAGAGTCTCCCTAAATTGTTGAGGCTAGCCTCCAACTTGCAATCCTCTTGGCCCAGTCTCCCAAATTGCTGGGGATTTCAGGCAAACTAGTTATTCAAGAAAGGCAGATGAGCATTTCACTCTTCCATTACCCCTCAAGCCACCAAACCTGGCTCTTGTTTGAGATTCTTGTGTGGCTTTCATGGAAGATGCTTTATCAGAGTGGCAATATTCACAACATCTTCAGCCTGGCAGACAGTAGGTAGACAGAAATAGAAGCCCACAGTCCAGGAAAAAGAAGAGACCCAAGGAGTTCCTTGATTCTTGTTTTCCCGGATTTGTCAATAGATAGAACATTCTTTTTCTTAAGACATCTCCATTTCTTATGTATGTATATTTTTTTCCTTTTAAAATAAGATGCAGGAGGAACTGGTTGAATCAGTGTACTTTCTCCTGAAAAATATGGCAGTGTTCAGAACATGGCAGGGGTGATGGTGGTAGCTCTGGAAAGGTCATTCTCAGAGGAACGGCAGTAGCAGGACGCACGAGGATAAGAAGCTTTACCTTAAAGGTTCAACTTCTTCCACTTGCTTCCAATCACCATCTACACTCCTCTCCAGCATGGGCTGGTAACGTATTTTTAATTTGGCATTTCATTACTGTCATTTGTATATTTGGACAATTAAAACAAATAGTGATGAGCAGAGTTGCCTAGTGGGGGCTAACTCCTGAAAGCCTGGACTTGGTACAGAGCCGAGATGTAAGGGATGGGATGCTGAGTTCACGGCAACCGAAGGCAGCGATGATCTGACGTCTCCTGGAAACTTACAATTCTGCCTCCTTTCACTGGAGACTTCGGCTTAGGTACTATGCATTTTCTACCTTACAAGTTTGTTTTCTAAACCAGCAGATTAACCTTTGCCTGTGATATGGGGGATTTAACATCCTAGTTTCCCTTCTTCAATCACTCTCTACCTCTGTTTTGGAATTGTGTTGTTAATATTTATGCCATCTCTCTAATGCCTTTTTTTGTGTGTGGAGCATCAGGAACAGACTAATGACTTGAAAAGATATTTGCCTGGATGCCTGAAGCAGCTAGGCTTCCTCTAACAGGGGCCTCTGCAGCAATGCCAAATGAATCCTGGAACACCCTTTACTCTCAGCACCACTACTTCAAGATGGATGCTCATGACCTGTGTGCATGGACGCACCCTGTAGTTTGGAGTTTGATGTAAAACATGGCATATTTTAGAATATTTGCACCATACTTTCTTGTACGTCCTTGATTCTTAGACAAAGCCTCATGAGGCAAAAGGGGTGTGAGTTTTGAAATATCTAACAGAATATAAGTCACATACAGGCATTTAAACCATAATGTCCCATTGTTTCACTTATGGAACACCTGAAAAACTTAAGTTAAGCAACAAATATACCACTTATGGAAATAATGAATTAAATATTTATGTTTTAGAGCTCTAGTCTTCAGAAAATAGAGTAATAGATATTAGTGATAATATTCATTATTATTAATGATATCATTAACATTCATAAATTATATAATAAGCTATAGACTATGATTTCAAGCCTATTTGGATGTACCCATGTCAATTTCATTGAGATACAGTACTGATGACTTGGGACTTAATGGGTTAATAAATGTTTGATTGAATGTCTTAGGTGCTCATGTTAATTGGACAGAATTTACAAGTATTCTTCCAGGATCAGCAGGCTTAAAGGGCTTATTCCCATTTGGAAGATCAGATGATAACATTACATGTAATGCAGTTCATACCTTCTTCCATCAACCAAAATGCCTACTGACAGCCCTGACAACTTCTAATTTGAAAAGGGGAAAGAAATGGGCAAGAAACTTCCTAGAAGACCTGCTTGGCATTTTGATGTTTTCCTTGCTCTATCGCGCCAGGAAGCCTGCAGGGTTAAAGCAATAACAGACCCCCCCACCGCTGGTTGCTATTGCTCAGGCAAACTAATTATTAAAGAAAGGCAGATGAGCATTTCACTCTTCCATTACCCCTCTGATGGTGCCTGTTCATCCAACAAGAACCCCATACCAAGCAATGGCCACCATTTTAATAACAGCATCACCCTTCTTAATTGACCTAAACACCACCACTGAGAATACTTTTCCATGCAAATAGCCCTTCTTAATGGCAAAGGAGGAGAATCCAGGGAGGTCCCAATTGCCGACTTTTTGTTATCCATTTTTTCAGATGTCTGCCATTCACAAAATGCTAGAAAACAACAGCCCTGCCTGTCTTTCCTCAAGGCTGTAGCTTAAAAAAAAAAAAAAAAGTGCTTACTTTGTGGCTTATTAACTGAGAAGAAAGATGGTTATTTCCACATAACTGAGAACAAATGTGATAGCCTATGATTCATGATGACTTCATGACAGAATAAAACATGATGCAAAAGGCAAAATGCTATCCTGGTCCAAACCAAGATTTTAATTGTGTTTTTTACTTATGAAACTATATCCATAGGAAAGGAAAAGAACAGTCTGTATTCCCTCAATTCCTTTCCTGTAAATATTTCACTGCCCAATGAGAAAATCATGGCTGCTGAAAAAAATATAAATTGCAAGAATATTTTATGTATGGGTATTTCTCCCCTCCATGGTTTTTGAGATATTTCTTAGCATTTTCAGTTGAGTTTATGTCTGACTTCTACAGGACTTCCAATCTGATGTCACCTTAGAGATTCAAATTAATAACATTAACTACACTGAAAGAGACTGAGTTCAGTTCAAATCCATTCAAATTCATTTACTTATTTAATTGGAAGCACACTTCAAAACATCTCTCTACCCAATAGCAACAGAAAAGAATCACACAGAGAGATTTCCATCTGGTACTAAATGAAAAATTTTCAGAGTATTTTCTTAGGAAACTAGTTCAAACTACATGTCAGCATTTACTGCCATTGGTACAACATTTATCTACCATTCTTGATGGTAGAATCAACTACGATTCATGCTACTAAATGTGATCTTTATTTAAATTTAGTCACACTTTAATATGTGTGAAAGAAAACTTTTACAGATCATAAGCAAAAACTAGTATCTATGGCAATAGAAGATAGCAAAACACTTTCTTTAAAAAGCATTAATAGGGGCTGGGGACATAGCTCAGTGCTAGAATACTTGCCTAACATGCACAAGGCCCTGGGCTTCATCGCTAGCACTGAAAAAAAAAAAAAAAACGACTAAATTCAAAATAGTTACTTTTATCTGCTTAAGGCTGGTGTGCAGAGCTACTCTTACTTTGTTAAAAATACATGCAAGTGCTAAAAGAAGAGTCAGAGATAATAGCATCAAACTGCACCTCTTAGACTGAGAGAAAATTGAAAAAAACAATAAATCCCATTTTACAATTTTATGTTATTTAGTGTCATGTTTGTAGACCAGGTAAAATTATTTTGAATACTAAATCATGGTCCCAAACCTATGACCAGGGAAACACTTAAGATAGTCTACTAAATAATAAACACTTTCACGGAGCAACCATGTACCTTGGTCACTCTAAGCACAGGCATATGTTAAAAAGTTCAAGACCTCAGCATTTATACCAGGCATCCTAGTTTTCCTCCTGAGAATGACAAGAATACTAATGAGGGAAAAGGCAGAAAAAATGAGTTATTATCTCAAACTTAAGGACCACAAGAAATGGCATTATTCATATTTGATCAAAATCGCTATTTGATAAAACAGATGAGATGGGTGTAGTCACACTGAGCAAGGAATTCTAGATATCAGGGAGGGTACAAAGGAGGATGGACACTTGTTTTCTCTTTTCAGGACATCAGTGAAAATAATTAATAGCCCTAGGAGGGAGAAAGTCACTTCTGAAATTCCCAGTCTGAATTTCAATTAGGAATGAGAAACACATTCCATGCAGTTCAAAAGATAATATTTAATCATCTTTTTCTACTGAAACCATGAAATCCTTGTTAGGGGTAAAAAAAAAAAAAAAAAAGCACTAAAAACTTAAGTGAGAACAGTATGTAGCACTTACTGGTAATGAACCCAGGATGGTCCCAGGGTTTTCTTGAACTGAGCGAGTCCTACAATATCAATATAAATGAGCTCGACGATTCTGTCTCCTACAGTAGGGCAGCCGGATCGGTTCCCCACTACCTTCTTCATAATTCTGGAAAAGGACAGAAGAGAGAGAAGAAACTATTTATTTTGAGATATTAAACTTGGCAAATAACAAACCCAAAAGTCCTTAGTAGAAATGATGGCATGGCTCTTCCAAACCAGTGGCCTATGTCAAGACTTCCCTCCCCTTAAGGCCAACCCAGAGCTCCAATTCTGCCTCTTACAAAAGCAAATGGTGGTGTATAAACACAGCCTTTGAAATCAAGAAAGACATGGGTCTGACTACATCTCCCATGTACAGCAGCTATGAGAACTTAAACAAATTACTTAACCACTCTGAATCTTCGTTTCCTCACTTACCAGAAAAAAAAGAATTGAAAGAAGCTATTAGCACTTCTCTAAGCTCCCTTTTTCTAAACACTTTCAGGGTTTGGCTGCTACGGTACTAGTTATTTGCTATACAGTTTCATCCTGTTGTCTATTATTTTCTCCTAACCAGAATGCACTGCAGAACCCACATCATGGCTCATACTTTTTCATTAAGTTTTTTTTTTTCACTCACCTGCCTGCCCTTCCACCCTGCCATACAAAGCCACACCTGCACCAGGGAAAGACTAAGTACCCGACTGGAAAACCAACTTCCTGTGCAGGAATGAATATGCCATTTATGCAGAAAACAGTTGTCACTGCCCCTGTAATCCTGCTTACAGGAATCCTTCACCACTCTGTGAAAATCCTACTTCAAAGGACGAGTCACGCCTAGGCCTCTGCTCTTCAGCTCCCTGCCTCTCTAGGCTCCCTGCTCCCTCTTCTGTGGATTTCTGATAAAGCCAAGGTTTGTATAATCAGTTTTGCATCCTAAGAGTTGGAAAGCATTTTTAGTAAAGGGCCACATAATAAATACTTTCATCTTTGCAGGGCACTCATTCTTTGCCACAATTATTCAATTATTCACTCTAGGAGACAAAACCACAAGAATACAGCTATCTCATACCAGACAAAGGCACCCAAAACATACACTGGAGAAAAGACAGTCTCTTCAACAAAAGGTGCTGGGAAAACTGGGAAATCCATATACTCCTCTCTCTCACCCTGTACAAAATTCAACTCAAAGTGGATCAAAGACCTAAAAATGAGACCAGAAACCCTGCACATTCTAGAAGAAAATGAAGGCCCAACACTCCATATTGGCTCGGGAACTGACTTCCTTAACAAGACTCCCAAAGCACAAGAAGTAAAATGAAAAATCAATAAATGGGATCTTATCAAACTAAAAATCTTCTTCATAGCAAAGGAAACGATCAAGAACATGAACAGAGAGCCTACAGAATGGGAGAAAATTTTGCCACCTGTATCTCAGATAGAGCATTAATCTCAGAATACAAAGAACTCAAAAAAAAAACAAAAAAAAACTTAACATCAAAGTTCACAAATAACCCAATCAATAAATGGGCAAAGGAACTGAACAGACACTTCACAGAAGAGGAAACAGGATTGGTCAACAAATATATAAAAAAACATTGAACATCTCTAGCAATTAGAGAAATGCAAATTAAAACTACATGGAGCTGGGTGTGGCGCACACCTGTAATCTCAGCAGCTCGCAGGCTGAGGTAGGAAGATCTTGGGTTCAAAACCAGTCTCTGCAACAGCAAGGCACTAAGCAACTCAGGGAGAACCTGTCTCTAAATAAAATAAAATTTAAAAAAAAAATGGCTGGAGATATGGCTCAGTGGTTGAGTGCCTCTGAATTCAATCCTGGATCCCACCCAAACCCCCCCCCCAAAAAAAAAAACTACATTGAGATTTCATATTATTCCATTGAGAATGGCAATTATCAAGAAAGCATGTAACAATAAATGTTGGTGAGGATGGGGGGATACACTCATATATGTTGGTGGGACTGCAAACCGGTGCAACCACTCTGGAAAGCAATATGGAGACTCCTCAAAAAACTAGGATGGAACCACCATTTGAACCAGGTATCTCACTCCTCGGTATATATCCAAAGGATTTGAAATCAGAATATGACAGTAACACAGCCACATCAATGTTCACAGCAGCTCAATTCACAATAGCTCATGGAACCAATGTAGATCTCTTCTACAGATGAATGGATAAAGAAAATGTGGTATACATACACAATGGAATACCACTCAGCCATTAAAAAGAATGACTTTATGACATTTGCCACTAAATGGATGAATATGGAGACTTCATGTTAAGTGAAATAAGCTAAGCCAAAGTTTGAATGTTTTCACGTATATGTGGAAGCTAACCCACAATAAGGAGGGAGAGGGGAAAAATAGAAGTTCAGTGGATTAGACAAAGGGAAATGAAGGGAAAAGAGGCGGATAAGAAAAGGAAAGAGTGAAACAAATCTGAAATAACTTTCCTGTGTACATATATGAATACACCACAGTGAATCCCACCATTGTGTACATCCTCAAGGATGGAGTCCTAATTAGAATAAGATATATTTCATGCTTGTAGAATTAGATCAAAATCGATTCTACTATCATGTATAAATAAGAAGAACCAATAAAAAACTATTCACTGTAATATGAAAGCAGCCAAATAATACATAACAGTGGTTGTGTTTGGGCTCCCCTGAAATGTTACAAAACCAGGCAGAGGACTAGGCCTGCAGAGTCATGGTGGGCCACCCCCATCCCCACTATGATCAGTTCTTTGAAACTGTACAGTGCAATTACCTGGTTGTGTCCTACGCCCATTAATTGTGATTAAATTAGCCTGGGAATGGTCAGTGTTTGGAGGATTTTAAAAGAGATCCCTGTTGTGGTTTAGATGTGAGGTGTCCCCCTAGATCTCATGTGTGAGACAATGAAAGAAAAGCTTAGAGGTGAAATGATTGGGTGATGGGACCTTGAACCTCATTAATGCATTAATCTTCTGATATGGATTAACTGGCTGGTAGCTGTAGGCAGGTAGGGTGTGGCTGGAGGAGGTGGGTCAATGGCTGTGCACTTAGGGTTTATATTTTGTGGTGAGGGCAGCTCTCTCTGCTTCCTGGTGTGAGGTCCTGGACTGCTCTCCTCTGCCACACCCTTCCGCCATGATGTTCTGCCTCACCTCTGACCCAAAGCAATGGAGTCAACTGTGACCCCCCAAATCAACGTTTCCTCCTCAATTTTTTTTTCTTGTCAAGTCTTTTGATCACAGTGGCAAAAATGCTGACTAAAGCATCCTCAAAACTTAAAATTATAAAACTAAAGATCCCCAGGTGGTTCTAATATGCAAGCAGACTTGGGTACTACTGTTCTAAGCAGGCTTCACAATTATCTTCTTAAATAAGACCCATCTAACCTTGACCCCAATGTGCATAAAGATCACTACAGACTCTCTTGACCATCAAGGAAGTCTCTGCCTGAGAAATTCTTCATATGCCTTTCCTGAGCTCCCTGGGCAGCTCTTGCCTCTGGTACTTCCACAGGACTCCATTTGTCCAACCACCCATTCACTCACTTATTCACTCCTTCATTCGTTCCTTCCATAGCTGCATCGGCACCCATTATTTGGTCCACTGTATGCCAGGGACCAAATGCTAAGGACACTGATTTATAACAGCCACAGTTTTCTGCATGCCCTGTGCTTACCTTCTAGCATCAACACTTCAATTAGCACTAATAGAATGGTAATTAGTGTAATTATTATTTGATGTATTAGTTGTAATTATCAAAAGACTGGCAGCTGCTTAACCACACACTGGTCATCTCTGTAGGCCCAGTACCAAAAAAAACAGCCCACAGAAGGCACAGAATGAGAGGCTTTGAAGTGCAGGAGCACATCCACTTTATAGGTTGTTCACCCAGCGTGTTTTAGAGCAAGCAGGAAGAAGGCAAGAGGAGGCAGCCTGCCCTGCCGAAGAAACAGGAGTGATGATGAAGGGTTCAGAGGCCTTAGGTTTACACAGCTCTGAGAGGACAACTGTGGGCAAGATCACTGGCTTTAAAGTCAGACACACAGCACCAAAGCCCGGTTCTGCCATATGTTGTCCCTGGCACCTAAGAACTCATTTTTGGTTTGAACCTCAGTTTCCTCATTTTATGCAGACAGCAACAACACCTACTTTCTGGTGTGAAGGACCAAAACCCTTCTGAATTCAACCCTAGTGTGATTAGTCCCTGGCGCACAGTAAGTGGTCCACAAAGGTTGGCTATTAATAATCATCATCAACATTATGGCTGTCGTAACTGTTGATGCGAAGGTTGTAATTAAACTTTTGTCATGGTACCAGGCATCTGGAAATAACTAACAAATGATAGCTGATACGATCTTACTGACATTGTTGCTTTTATCTCAATATACTGCCACCAACCTAATACAAGTGACCTCCCTGGGTATCAATGTCCTGTGCAATAGAGGGAGAACAGGGTGAAACATACTTTGTTTTAACACCCTCCCAATCTCTAGAATGTTCACTGAAGGTGCTTCTTCTGGAACTACTTGACATAGCAGCATGAAGCTTGGCTGCGGGGCAGGAAAGTCTCTAGAGGCAGTTACCCAGGAATGAGGGAGTCTGAATGTCCCTGGAAGGCCAGCTGTGTCAGTCTAGAAGGGGTTGAGAGAGGATTGGCGCTAGATGCAAATTTCATTGAAAACAAAGACTCAGGAAGAGTTGAAAGTTGGCTAATTGAAAACAAATTGGTTTGAGACTTTCAGGAAATTCATTTCATCCAAATTACATTATAAATAGGAACCTGCCCTGTTTTAAGATTAAGAAAGCTTGACACTGAGTAGGGAATGGTATGAATTTCAGCAAGAGACCGGGAATTAGGAAAGTCAATAATGTTTTCTGCTGCAGATGTTGGAAGCACCTGTAACAGCAAAGAATAAGCTCCTTAGTTTGAATTTTCCAGCATTCATTTATGAAGCCTCAGGAGCCTACAGCTACAATGAAAACATATTATCCTTCTCACAGTGTATGTATTTAGCTCCTGAAAATAATCTTCTTATCTCCTGTTTAGTGAATTATCACTTTCATTTTCCTCCACAAGAAATTACACACTAATAGAGGGCTTTACAAGTTTACAATTTCTTTTTTGTATTCTGATTTTAAAATTGAAAAGTAATCTCCTTACTCCTTGAGCTCAGCCAGTGAGGCTGAAATCCGAATGTCATGGCCCAGTAAGTACAGAGATGTAATTAAATCACTCCACTGAACTAATTCACCGAGAGGGCCACCACTGAATGCCGTCTCCGCGATCTTAAATCCAGATTCCTTGGTCAGGAGTCCCAGGTGAACGAGGACCTGAAAAACAGAGGCACACACTGATTTGCACTGAACCAAGAATAAAGTCCACAGAAACACACCACAAACCCACCAACCAGTTCCAAAGACACGTCCCATGAGATCTCAGTGTGGAGTGTGCCAGTTTTCTAGAAGGTACAAAGAAAGGAGGGAAATAATTTTTCATTGTTTTAGAAAAATTGAATCATTAAAGTCAGAATTCAAGGAAAGTAACCCAGGACAAGAGAGTATCTTTTAACAATACTGGGCCTTCTCCCCATATCTGGGATATTTTTAACCTTTTACTGTGGAAAATGTTGAACATCCAGAAAAGCAGACATGATGACACTGTCAACCCAATACACTCACCACGTAGCTTCAACATTATCAATTCATGACAAATCTTAGTCTACACCCCTTTTCTTCTAATCCCTCTAAATTATCTTAAAGCAAATTCTGCCTGTAAATATTTCAGTATGTATCTCTAAATGAAACAAACCATTTAAAAACACACACACACAGTTAAAACATCCCTCTGTTCCCAAACAAGCTAATAATTCCTTAATATCATCCAACACCCAGTTAATATTTATACTTTCTCAGCTGAACCTTTGTTAAGTGTGGTTGTGTGATTCAGAACCCAAAGTGCACATGCTAGAGTTGATTCCTCGCCTCTTCATAATTCCTAGTAATTTTTTTTTTTTTTTTTTGGTTGACAAAGAGGAGTGTTAACATTTACTTACCAAAGACTCTGTGTTGTATTTCCAACAGTCTCTTACATTCTGGATTTTACTCATTACAATCCCAAGGTATTGTAAAACAGATTATTCTGTTCCTTGTATTTATGGTAAATGAGTAGTTAGATCATCAGTTCTGATGAAATTCAGGTTCAATTTATTATTATTGGCAATACTAGTTCACATGTGTCACTGTGTACTTTCATTGGTGGGAACTACGTCTCAGTCTGTTTTGGGATTTCAGTAGCTATGGATAATTACTAACTAGACCATTATTCAATTTGGGCTGCAAAATAGTGATACTATGTAATTTCTTCATTAGCTAGAATATTTCTATAAAGACCAACTACTTCCTATTGGTCACCGTGAAGTACAGCTTGCTTAGAGCCTGGTAAGTACTTGATTTTTGCCCTTTATTTATCTGTTTTTAGAAGAACAAGTATGTTAAATTTAGCCAACTCTTAATACTGATCCATGGGGTTTCAGTTTCAAAATATTATAAAATCATGGATGTAAGCATATTTAATTTGTTTCAAAAAATTCTGGTTATTATCCTACTATCAAACTGTCCCATGTTGGCCAGTGAGAGGCTATTCAAGGTAGCTTCTCTGCTCTTGAATATGATAAAATGTTCTAAGCTCAAATTCTGTCTCAGAACTTAATAAGTAATTTTTCCAAGAACCTCTTATACCACCTAGTGAAAATAGCATTTAGAGATCAAAGTCTAGGGCTTAAGAGACTCTAGTTAATCACCGTTTGGATGACTTTTCAGCGGCTCTAACTAGGAAATGTATTTTTCCACTAAGATAAAACAAATCATGAGTTCTCATTGATATTTCCAAATCAAACACAGGATTGTAATATTTTTACATAACATTATTCATCTTACACATTATTTCCTATCTCCTACAATGAAAGCCCACCTGTCAAAGATACCAACATAGTCATTTGCAGTATTCTAACATTCACAATGGATTCAGAATGAGAATATCAATACTTCCAAACACCATATGATTTACAAAAATTGTTTAAAAATATTTTTGCAGTTCTTTTTGGCCTCTGGGATGTTCCATTAAAATGTTCAAGTTATTGTGTTCTAAAGGCATCAAGAATCATCTTTCCCTCTGTGTGCTTGTATCAAAACTGAATGGATATAGTGTCAGTTGATTATTTTCTTTATGATTTGTTAGGTATGGTTTCTTTCATAATTATATTTTCACACTTAAATGGCTCCAGTGTCAAAACTACAAAGTAAGATATATTCTCAGAGAAGTCTGCTTTCTATTCCTGTTGCTTTCAGAAGTCCCCTTTCAGCCACTTTTCCCTCATTGTGGTAAAATACGCAGGACATCAAATTCACTGTTTTAGTATACACCATTGAGCAGCATTAAGAACATTCACATTATCATGCAACCACTGCACCATCTACCTATTATAGTTTTAGTATTATAGTTTATTTTCCAATTTGTAAAACTATGAAAAATAAACATGTATGTTATGTATTGCACATGTGCGTATGTATAGATCTACATGTATATTTGAAAAACTCCCTCTCTCTTTTAAAAAAATAATGCACGTCATTCTCCTCTTTTCTTCTTTACCCAACAACAGTATGTACTGGAGATTTCTCCGTAGGACTACATAAGCAGCAATGTATGAGTGTACCCTTTTCCCCACATTCTTGCCAATGTTTATTGATACCTATATTCTTGATAAATTGCCATTATGACAATCAGTGTGGTTTTAATTTGCATTTTTCTAATTGCTAGAGATGTTGAACATTTTTTCATGTATTTATTGACCATTTTTATTTCTTTTGAAAAGTGTCAGTTCAGTTCCTTTGCCCATTTATTGATTGGGTTATTTGGGTTTTTTTGGTGATAAGCTTTTTTGTGGGGAAAAGGATACACTTGGATATTGCTCCTGGGACGGAAAATTGTTGCAGCCGCTCTAAAAAGCAGTATAGAGATTCCTCAAAAAACGAGGAATGAACCCCACCATTTGACTCAGTTATATCACCTCTCAGTATATATATATCCAAAGGTTTGTAAAATCAGCCTACTACAGTGATGTAGCCATATCATTATTTATTGCAGCTCAATTCATGATAGGTAAACTGTGGAGCCAACTTGAGCCCTTCAACAGATGAATGGATGAAGAAAATATGGTACATTTATATATATGGAATATTACTCAGCCATAAAGAAGAATGACTTTATGACATTTGCCAGTAAATGAATGGATCTGGAGACTATCAATGCTAAGTGAAATAAGCCAATTCCCCCTGAAAAAGAGTCGAATGTTCTGATATGTGGATACTATCACACAACAAAAGAGGGGAGGGGAAAAGTAGATGTTCAATAGTTTAGACAAAGGGGAATAAAGGGAAGGGAGGAGGGATGTAAATAAGAAAGATAGTGGAATTGAATCTGAAATAGCAAGTTTATGTACATACATTTGCATATATATATATATACCACAGTGAATCTCCACATCATGTACATCCACAAGACTAGGATTCTAATTAGAATAAAATATACTTGATATTTGTATAAATATGTCAAAATTGACTCTACTGTCATGTGTATCTAAAAAGAATAAAACAAACTAAAAAAACCAAAACAAGCATTCTGTACTTCTTTTTCTAGCACACCTGCAGCATCTGACTACATGTTCTTCCATACACGCCTGTCTGGTGCCAGAATGCTTGAGGTTGCCATCCTAATGGATTCAAACAAAACTGACCCCATCAAACCGTGACTTGGGGGCTTACAAAGTGTATCTGTATTTCCTTTTTCAAAGAAATCCAATTAGTCAAGTTAGGAATACTAAACTCATTTTGAAGTTCTTTTTAGATGTAGGAACAAACCATTCACACATTGCTCAGTTCTGAACTCAGAACAGTTAATCCAAAGTCGTCTTACTTAATCTATAACCAATAAGGCATAAGAGCTTCTAAGCCCAGGGGCATTCTAGGTTTCCAAGCATCTCAGGGACATAGCTCTATCTCCCAGGAACATATGCAGAAGTGCCAAACCAAACAGCATAGCAGTGGAACTCACCAGTTGCCCAGACAACAAAAATGAGAAGTGGCCATGATGAAGTAATACTAAGTTCTCAAAGGTTGGATTCAGATAAAGAAATGGGAAAGTTTCCTCTTATCCTGAGAGAGTCAATAGGTGGTTCAAAGGAAAATCTGGCAGGCAGATATTTTGCTTACCTTCATCCAAGAATTTTGTGCTAGTCCTTGCTAAATGAGAGTATTATGGGAAAGAAACCCCTCAAAAAGGACTGTAAAACAGGCAGAGATGATCCACCCTGAAGGAAGATCATTTGAGACATGACATTTCTCTTAGTCTGGTTTCCAAGCAAAACCAAGTTGTAAAAGAAAACTGGCATCTAACTGAAGTGAATTCAGAAGAAACTCACTTTCTTCCGTTTTCTCTTTTCAAGATTCTGCTTTTCTGCCAGGGACTTGATTGCTTGAATCCACGCATCAGCCATTCGCCGGATCCTGAGTCTCATCCACCGGAATTCTTCATGCTTTTTCATCATGCTGTAGAGAATATTAAAATCCGTACGAATTTCCGCCTAGAAATGGAAATTTAATAAAATGAATAGAAGATAAAAAGTCAGAAAGCATAATGGTTTTCGTGATGTGACATTTGAAAACTTGAAAGAGATAGTCAATTAAATCCAGGGCTTCAAAAGTGAGTCTTGTCTTGCTGCACAGCTTTTTAGTGGTAGGTCCCCAGCACTGCAAATTGAAGCGAAGGCCCCTGACTGCTGATTTGTTATAAGGGACATCATTAAAAAATTAGAAAAGTGGCACTGTGGCTGCAAAGCCCTGGGCTACGTTTAAAATGCACTTTTTACAATGAATACGTGTGATGTACCTTGAAATCCTCTGTGCTGAAATTTATAGTGCCACTTGGATCTGTTACAAGGCAGCAGACTTGTGGGAAAACTGAAGTCAACCCTGCACAGGCTACCCAACATCCTGTTGGCTGCCAGAGAGACTCCTTCTGTCCACACAGTTAAATGGCCAAATAAATGTTCATCTTTTAGTTCATCCCAGTTAAAAATTTATTATTTTCTAGGGAATTTAAAAGTCTAGGATATTGGTTTTTATCCCCTACCACAGCTGAATACAATTTGAAAATCAGACTAGAAAAACTTAAACCCAGGAAGAGTATTTTCCTTCCTATTCTACATAATATAGTTGGATAAAACTCATGCGTGGAACAACAGAGAAACATGATGATACCAGTATTTATTTCACAGGAAACCTCAAATTTGCTGAATCCATCTCTCAGTAGTTGCCAGAGTTCATTGTAAACCCTCATCTCCTTCCTTGACAATATCCCAAGGCCCCCACGGTCTACAGAAAGGGTCAACAAACTCTGGCCCTAGGGCCAGTGCTCTTCACTGCCTGTTTCTAGTGCATAAAGTTTCACGGGCATAAAGCCACACCCCGTGATTAATATACTGTCAAATGGCTACTCTGCTAAAATGGCAAAGCTGTATATGGCTTGCAAATATAAAAATATTTACTATCTGGTCTCATATTAGTAAAAGTTTGTTGATCCCTGGTCTAAATAATAAAGGCCTGAGCTTTCAAGGTGGTACCACTGTTCATGATCCCCTTCCTACCTTTCAAATCTCATCTTCAACCCAGCTCATACAAACTCTTTGGCCTTGTGACACAGAGCCATGTTCTACAATAACGAGTGCTCACTTCCACATATCAGAGACATCATTTTCTCCCTGACCTCATAGAAACACATCATTTTAAATTTAGCTCGATGTCATCTCCTCTATGCAATCCACTTCAACCCCTGCAGGCTGACTTGCCTCCACCTCATTAATGTCCATCGGCCTGCATTAAAGCACAGTGACAGACATGGTAATTATTTACAACCATCCCCCTCATTAGATCATCTAGGGCCTCCACATCTGGCACCTGATCTCATCTCAATCACTAGTCCATCACTTAGGGACCCTCGGAGAATTGCTTAATAAGTAAATCTATGCTAACTGGTTGACTTATTTGGTCACCCAGACTCCCACAGAACAGTGACAGAAGTTCGTCTGTTGAACACTATTTCAGATTACAGCTGGCATTTCTAAAAGACTCCCCATCTATCAATTAGCATCTGACCTAAATGCACTCGTCTAGGAAGAGTTTTCCAAAATCATTTACCAATGAATTATGATCAGCTTCTTCGTAGGGATTTTTTGCTCTCCAAGGTAAATGAGGACACCAATTTTCAACCTGAAAAACATAAATCATCCACAGTAAGTATGCTGGTTCATCTTCAAATGGATTACCATAGGCACAAAGCACTCAGAACAGTTCCTGGCACACAATGAACACTGTAGCAACGGGAGGTATTATTAGCCAGCTCCCATGATTTTAGCTAGCTATAGCACCACGTATGCAGGAATAATGAGCAAAGGTCAGAAGGAGCATGTGATGACCGTTTATATGGGTCTTTCCTAGTACTCTACTGGGACTGATTCCTTACATTTCTGTACCGTGGGGTCTTATAAGGAGAAGGCTGAAAGACTCAAGCACTGCTGCTGGGAAATGTGAATGTAAAAGCACCTCTGTGACCATTTAAACAAATGGACAGGAATGATCTGGTATTTGCTGTGGCAGGTACACAAAGGACATAGGATGGCATTTGAGTCACAGAACTCACTCCTTCATGGGAGAATTAGATAGTTTACTATCTAATTCAGCAACTGATAGTTTAAGGCAAATTGGTGAGGGCCTTCTCTCATTTTCTGGCTGTTCGCATCACACTGTCTCGAGAAATTAGGTAAGGAAGAGAAGGAAGGAAAAATGGAGGGGTGGGAGGAGAATTCTTGGTGATCTTAATAAGAGTCCATGGACTGTTTTTCTCAATGTACAAGAGTTTAGAGTTGTGGAGAGGAGGAAAACAGAAAGTAAAAAAGTGCCAGATCTTATAGGATTACTTCGATAAAGGTTTCCAAAGAAAATTCTGCAAAAATTCATCATTTCTAGTAAAGGAAAGATGAGAAATGATTGAGTAATGTTGATGTCTGGCCTCTGCCTAAAACAGATATAAAATTTCAAGATAATATTACTCATTTGCTAATAAATAATGACATTGAAATAATTCTTTTAATGACACGTGGACCTACAAAATTTAACCGTGAGAAATGTCCTTGGAGAGGACACTGAGCTGCAGGACTGTGGTGGGGGTGGGAGGGTGGGGACTGTGGTGGGGGTGGGAGGGTGGGGACTGGAGCCTCCTGGGTCAGCAGAGCAGTCAAACGAGACACTTTGCCCCGTAGGTCTGGGTGAGTTTTCAAAGCAACATGTCAGTTTCACTAATCTAGAAGTGACTCCTAATGCAAAGTGATTTTTTACTATGACCAAAAATAATTGGCCTGATTTGCATAAAGCCACCTGCCACTGCAAATGATCTGAAAGCAGTGAGCCGAGGGCAGCAAGGCTCAGGGGAGGGCAGAACCCCTAGAAAGGCAAAGAGCAATGTTCTCTTTTTTTTTCTTATGGAGTAAAATTAGACTTTATACTTGTGAATGACCTCAGAGACTCAAAAACACTACCCATAAGAAAAGCTGAAATTATTTTTACTCATTAAAAGAAAAAAAGAAAGAAAATACTAACTTGCCTTGGAGGCTCATGATCTAATTACTAGGACCTTTCAGCAATATGACTATGAAAGGCAATCTGTGGACTCCACAAATGAGAAAAAAAAACGAGGAAAAATGGCAGAAAAGAGGTTGCGAGAGATGAAGCCGAGCTGGTCCCAGCAGCGTTACACACATCTGTACCTCTTATTCTCAGGTTGGGCTGAATTATTTAGCTCCAATTAAATTTTTGTAAATGGACTCAATAAAACATCCCTATAAAACATATTTGTAATAGGAAGGCTTCAGATAGATTGCAGAGCTGACTGTGAGACCTTCAACCACACACAAACAACAAGCAAGCAGGGTCAGATTTGAAATAAGCCTCACAACTGAATAAATAACCAGGTTTATAAAGCAATCTGCCAGGATAAAAGATTTCCCCTTGAAGAGCATGATGGAGAAAGATAAAAACAAGACTATGAATAAAGGAAATCAACTAAAAGGAGACACATTAGTGGGACCCATATTGGTAAAGTAGAGTACACTCCCTCCTCTGTCCTGAGAATATTCCAAGATTTGCTCTGATGAAAATACATTCCAAGGTGATCTAAAATATGTCTTTCCTAAAGAACCCTGGAGACTGTAATTCCTCTTTGAAGAGGAACATTTATCTTAGTTTTTCTTACTCTAAATCACTGCATACTACTTTGCAAGGCTCTAAGGGCATTCCTACAAATACGGAAAATAGAGTCAGTGCGACAGAGCTTTTAGGGAGAAATGTCACCATTACACATGTACTCACTTAGAATGGTGGAAAAATCGATCCTTAACATCCCAGCACAGAATGGAGGGTGAGTTTTTAAGGCTGCTTTTGTGCACAGTGATAGGATAACTGGTTAATGAAATAATTAAATTATACGTAAACCAATTACCCCACAGGGAGAAGGGGAAAATAAAACAGCATCTTTCTTTCTTTCTAAAACCTCAAGAGGATTGATTACCAGGATTGGAAGAAAGCCAACACTGGCAGTAACTCCAAGTGCTGAAGCAAACAGCCCTCCAATGAACAACATTTTCCTAAATAAGAGCACCACTAAGAACATTCAGGGAAAATCTTGATCTCGGTTAATAACTCAAACTCTTGATACCTAACGGTGTTTTCTGTCTGATCTGCCCTGGATCCTACAATGAGCTTAAGCCACCAGCATAGTATCCTTCCAATAAAGGTAGACCCCAGGAGACCACCTGGATGCAGCCCTGTTTTAGATCATTCTGAAGAGCTCCTCTCCTGGCTCACAGGACTCCAGTGTCCTACACCTGAGTGTGGCCACCTTCTTCCAACTGCCTGGACCATACTTTTTCAGCTGTGGCTCTGTGTAGTTGCCCTCAGTGTAGGGCTTCCACTCATCTCTTTCCAACTCTAATAGCCTGAGTAAGTCCTGCCTGAAGCCCTCTACCAGGGAAGGGACTCGAAATCTTTAATAGTATCCTGTAATTTACCCAAGTCAATTCAAAAATAGAAAACCATCTGAATTCACAGTAACACGCACACAACAATCAATAGAGCAGCAGAACCATTACTGTAATAACCTTCGATTGGAAGACAAAACTCCTTGGACATGAGCTAATCTTTTTTAAGCATTCATCTTAGGACACAAAATGAGGAGCAGCAAAAGCAAAGACAAGCCAGGCTAGAACTTTGGAACATTGATGCATATTCCAGCGAGGGCCCTGTCAATCACTCTTCTCTGAGCGAGGAGATATAAAATAAGACAATTTGGTTTTTGACATTCTTACTTCTGGTGATTTAGCCTTCTTTGAACTAAGAAGGTTTTGAAGCTTAATCATGAGGATTGTGAATCAAAGAGTTCTCCAAGTCCCTAAAAAATTCTAACTAGGTCAGGATTATTTTCAAGGTCCACAGGATGGACAAATTCATTATGTTTAAAAGAAACTGCTGGTAGATACACATATAGCTCACGTTAGAGTTTAAAGGGGAATGAGGAAGTAATAAAGTAGTTGTAAAAATGAAAAATGATAGATGACTCCAGAGGTCTATATGCATGTTGGTACACATATATGGCATATGCTATAGTTATGTTCTTAAAACAAAACAAAACAGAACAATTGTCTATGTCTTTCACTATTAATGTAAAGTGTTTTGTTTTAGTGGATCACTGACATACAGGATTTCATGCTATATTTTTCAGATGGAAAGTATAGTCAGAACTAAGTGGAAAAAAATGTGCAAGAGAAACCAGATTATCTTGGATAATTGTGTTATGGGTGCTTTTAATTTTTCTGTTAATCTGCATATTGTGATTTTTATAACAAACATTAATGAATAGAATATACATGACATTATTACATAAATATATAATCATTTACTTTAGGCTGAGAATAGGTCAACCTCCAGTGAAAAATATAAACACAAAAACTTGTGTGCACAACATCATTTGATACATGGAGGACCCTATGATGTAATACTAATACTGTCGCTATGCTACATGTGGGGGGAGAGGAGGGATCAAGGCACATGGGAAGTTGCCAAGGTAACTCTGTGTGTGTGTGGCAGGACTGGATGACAACTTCACCTTAAGGCCAAGGTTAGTGAGAGACAAGAGAGAGGCTCAACGGGGAAGGAGTACAGAATCCAGAATTAGTCAAAATAGATTACATGTACAACTCTACAAAGAACTATGCATGTAACAAACCATTTGCCTTTTGTGCTTTCTTGTCTGCAAGGTGAAGGAGCTTGATAATGTGACCAGTTTCATTCTATTATCTGCTAAGATCAGAAAGGAAGCCAGGCACGGTGGTGCACACCTGTAATCCCAGTGGCTGCGGAGGCTGAAGCAGGAGGATTGCAAGTTCAAAGCTAGCCTCAGCAAAGGTGACTTTGTGAGACCCTATCAAAATAGAGAGCCCTATACACAATAGGGCTGAGGATGTGGCTCAGTGGTTGAATGCGCCTGAGTTCAATCCTCAGTAGCCCCACGCCCAACGAGAGAAAGAACAATCATAAAGAGAATTTCATACCATCCTCTTACACCAGTTATTTTCAAATAAGTAAAACTGTCATTTATGCACACACAAGTAATTTGTTATATTAATGACACAGTAAATGAAGTTACTTATTAATGACTATGCTACAAAAATCTAAAAAGACTTCTCCCTACCACACACTGCTGGTTGTTCACTCTACCTTCTAATGTTTCAAAAGGGAAATGCAGCGGCACAAGACTCCTGCACCTGGTGAGTGGCTCAGCTATCTAGACATCTCTGCACTAAACACCTGCGTTCATTAATATGTTGTCCCAGCAGCTTGCTGAGTGGTTATGCGAAGGAGACAGAGTGTGCGAGACAAAGGAGAGGAAAATGCTAGAAAGCAGCAGGAACCAAGTGTATGGATCAACCCTCAACATATGTCACCTCACTTGGGTGTTCAAATAATTTTGAGGGAAAGAAAGAGCATCATACAGATGAAGATAGCAAGAAAGAGACTACACATAGCAAGGGCCAAAATAACACCTGTCCCTCTCACAACAGAGCCATGCTTGCTAAGCACATAAACTAGAAGATGGTTCCTACATCCCCATAAGCATAGTCTAGGCTCCATGTTAAGACAGTATGGCTTAAATCTTCTGT